AACCCACAACATTCTTTCCTAGAGGAAGATCAACAATGTCCGATGTACCATTTTCTTCAAGAGGAACAATCTCTTGTTTCATGGCAAGAACCCATCTGTCATCTTGAACAGCCTCATGATAGGTCTTAGGTTCAATTTCAGAGGTGTGAGCAGCTAGGCAGGTGGCATACTCAGGAGAGATTAGATCATCACTCAGGTAGTCAGACATAGGATAGATACAAGATTTAACCACATATTCATTAAACCACTTGGGTGTAGACTTAGGTCTGTGTGATCTTCTTAGTGGAGCCTCAGGAACAACAACTACTGGATGGTCTGCATGTACTGGTGCAGTATGAGGGGGAACAACAGGTACATGGACTATAGGGTCTACTGGAACATCATCAGCAAAGTCCATGACATGAAATATAGGATCATTACTAAGAATCATGTGTTTAAAGGGATAAACATATTCATGAAAAACAACATCCCTGCTAAAGAAGAACCTTTTAGGATGCAAATCATACAGTTTATAACCCTTCTTAATGGCTGAATAACCCATAAACACAGCAGGAAGTGCTCTGGCAGCAAACTTATCCCTCATCTGAACATTTACTGCATATGATAAACATCCAAAAATACTGAGATGATTAAGAGGTGGGGAAGTGTGATAAAACAACTCAAAAAAGGATTTATTCCTTAGCACAGATGAAGGAAGCCTGTTGATAATATGCACTGCTGTAAACACACAGTCACCCCAAAAACATAGAGGTATGGCAGCCTCAAGCCTGAGGGTCTTAGCTACTTCAAGCTTCTCTCCACCACTCCATTCTGTTGTGGAGTATAGACACATGTAGTTTGATGAATAGTCCCTTGTGCAATAAGAAAATTATGCATAGAGGAGTTAAGAAACTCTGAGCCATTATCAGTTCTAAAAACTTTGATTTTAGAGTTGTACTGAGTGTGAATCATTGAAAAGAAAGTTTTGAGCATCAAAAAAGTTTCATCCTTAGAATTCATCAAAAACAACCAAGTAAGTCTGGAGAAATCATCCACAACTATTAGAAAGAATCTTTTTCCATCAGTAGTTGGCATTCTATATGGCCCTCATACATCAACATGTATCAAATCAAACACAACTTTAGAATGAGTAATACTAAGAGGAAAGGGTAACTTGGTTTGCCTGGCTAAAGGACATACAAGACATAAACCACAAGACTTATCTACGCTACTATGTAGAAATTTGTCCATCTTTTGTAAGACAAGCAAAAGGCATGTGTCCAAGTTTTCTATGCCAAATGCTGAGTGTAGAAGTGTTTTTGACAACAGTTTGAGCTTTAGGAAAGAGTGAAGTGAAGGAGTATAGTGACTTAGCAACATCACAAAACAAATAAAATCCACCCGATTCTCTACCAGTCCCCAACACCTTGCCACTGCAAAGGTCCTGAAATATACATAATTCAGGATAGAAAGCCACCATACAATTCAACTCCTTAGTGAGCTTGGAAACAGATAGCAGGTTAAAATGGAAGTTAGGTATATAAAGTATATCATGAATTTGTTGTGTTGGCAATATATGCACTGAACCTTTGTGTGTGATGTCAGACTTTTCACCATTAGGCAAATGTACTTGACCAACATTAGATAATTGTTGTGGCTCATTTAGGATATCTAGGTTGGACACCATATGATTAGTTGCACCTGTATCTATCACCCACCGAGTTTTCTCCAATTTAGATAATAGTGATAGAATTATACCTGAGCTTGATTTAGTAGAGTTAGAAGGACCTGCTAGGGTGGCTGTGGCCACATTAGCTGTGACATCCGACCCTTTGAGAATCATCTGATGAATCTGGTAGTACTGTTCAGGGGAGAAAATAGGTTGAACAGCCTCATGAGTGGTAGTTTGTGGTGGAGAATCCTCAGCTACATAATTTACAGCAGTCTTTGGATAGGAGTTATGTTTCAGCTTAGATCTATTATCATGGAAAGATCTATCAGGTTGAAATTCTCCTTTGTCCTGCTGAGAGTTTCTATTGTACTGATTCCTATCGTTGAATTGACCAAGCAATCTCCTACAAACTGCTCTAGTATGGCCCGACTTTTGGCAATAATCACGATATAGATTTGTCATTAAGGTAGTGGTGTCAGTGATCTCCAAATCTGGCATGACAGAGATAAGAGATCTCTAACTTTCCTCTTGTATAATAAGAACATAAATCTGATTCAAGGATGACAAAGGTTGCATCATCAACACCTGACTCTTGGCTCGAGAATAGGAATCATTCAATCCTGTGAGGAATTGAAAAATGCTGTGTTTCTGAATGTGCTCAGTAAATATCCTTGAGGTCTCATAATTGCAGGTAGGAGGAGGAATTAAGGCATCAAATTCATCCTACATATCACTCAGCGTGGAGAAATAAGTTGATACAATAGTGGTACCTTGAGTGAGAAAAGCGATCTCCTTATGCAGATGAAAAGTCCAAACACTGTTCTCCTTGTCAAACTTATCCTTCAAATTCTCCCAAACCTTTTGTGAATCTGAGGCTTACGCAATGCCAGTTAGCAACTCCTTCGAGACTACGTTCATGATCCAGGATAATACAATGGCATTACACCTTTCCCATCGTTTCAACAATACTCCAGTATATGAGGATTTCGCACAACTACCATCAACAAAATCGAGTTTATTCTTTCCCAGTAAAGCTATCTTCATGTATCTGCTCCATAAGGTGTAATTCTCAGTGCCGTTCAATTGCAGAGCAATCAGGGTAATTCTGGGGGTATTTGTAGATTGGAGAAATATCGAATCATTGTGATCAATAGGAGGCACTGGAGTATCAACCATTGATGAAGATTGATGCTTAGATCCAGAAAAAATAAATAGAGGATCGTTTACTCGAATAGTGATGGAAGAGAGAGACGATTGCGGAAATGTATACATGCGATCATAAGCTCTGATACCATGTAAACTTCAGCTACCATGGATTACTCCATGGATTTAGAGCTGGAACAGTGCAGAAGCTTTTAGAGAAATCAGTTTAGAGAAGAAGAATAGGAAAGCTTTGTATTGCACTGAAATTGTATCTACACTAATGATCTACAAGTCTATTTATATAGTAGTTTCTAACCACTAATTACTGCTCTACTTATTATCATGACTAGCTAACACTAACTAATTATAAGTTAGTTATAACATCCTAACTAACTGCCATGTCACTAGCCTCAATAAACATTAGAGAACCAAAGATTTATTTACTACGAAAATTAAGCAAAGTTGCAGTTGGAGAGTGAAATAAAAATAATAAATGTATTCATTTTTATTGTGATATTTTAATAAAATCGAGATTCATGTATCTTACCTAGCCTATAAACTCCTTTGGTTTTAATAGATGGAGTTTGTCAATTTCTATATTTTGAGACACTATATTCCTACATTAAAAGTCTATTCTACCTTTTTTTGAAGTGTGTATCTCTTGAGGTAAGTTCTTTCTAATTACATTATTTTTTCATAATTCTTGTCAAATTTAATGGAGATAGTTGGATAAATATTTTATGGAAGATCAAAATTATTTTATTTTTGGCAATGTTGAAGAATCAAGACGATTAAGTGCATAGTTAACACTATTTTGAAGAGAAAATGACATAAATTGTCCCTTAACTATAGTAGTAGGTCTAAAATGGTCCCTTAACTATACACCTAACGGATTTAGTCCTTTAATTATTCAAAAATTTATCAGCTTTGGTCCCTTAACTATACACTTATCGGTTTTAGTCCCTTAACTATAAACTTACTGATTTTAGTCCTTTAAGTATTCAAAAACTTATCAGGTTTAGTCTTTGTCCATTTTCTTAATACAAATAGCTGAGGTTTATATTGACGGAATCCACGTCTCAAGAAATTAAATCCTTTAGCAACTTTTTCTGTTGTTTCTCTCTCTCCGCTACTTTTTCTTCAAATTAACCTTATGCGAAGAACCTTCATCTCAACGATTTAAAATAAAATTCACGAGAAAAGAAAATATAAGTCATAATTTTATTCAACAGAGGATAAAATGAATCATATTATTGCTACTAATGACTTGAATATACTAAACTTTATTATAAAAAAAATAAAATTATTACCCATTAAATCCAAAGTTTGTACTCCAACAACTTCACTGAATGGAATTTGTTTAATTTTTTAGAAATTGAAATTTATAAAATGGTAAATTTGCAATTTTTTTAAAATAGATTAATTTTATTATTCTATTCATTTTATTTTACGTAAAGAAATTTGAGTAAATTAAATAAAATGCGCACTTATTATCATATTCAAGTGCGGATTCAAGTCATTAATAACAATTATATGCTTAATTTTATTCTCCATTGAATAAAATTAGGACTTATATCTTCTTTCCTTGTTAATTTTATTTTGAATCGTTGACGTTATTGTTCTTTTCATAAGAGTAGTTTGAAGAAAAAAGGACGGGGATAGAGAAACAACTTGAAAAATTAATTAAAGATTTAATTTCACGAAGATTTCGGTTAATATAAATCTAAGCTATTTGTATTAAAAAATGGACAAAGACCAAACCTGATAAGTTTTTGAATATTTAAAGGACTAAAATTGGTAAGTTTATAGTTAAGAGACTAAAACCGGTAAGTGTATAGTTAAGAGACTAAAGCTAATAAATTTTTGAATTGTTAAAAAATTAAATCCGTTAAGTGTATAATTAAGAAACCATTTTAGACCTACTCCTATAGTTAAAATTTTCTCCCATTTTGAATCTGCCTTTAAATATAAAAATTCATTTTCTTAAATATACTTTTAGTAACCCATCTTTGTCATTTTTTTTCCTCTAAAAATAAGGGACTTGTTAGAAAAGACAGCAATTGGAAGGAAATCAGAGAGAAAGATGGATCCTCGTCCTCCTCATTCGCAGGCACAGTTACTGAATAGCTGGCGTGGTGCCAAATTTATTTGGCGTGCTGTTCTCATCTTCAATCTCGGCCTCGGTGGTAAAATCCTAAACCTCACTGCTCTATTTTGCCTTTCGTATTACAAGTTTCATGCATTTCTGTATAGGGTTTTAACTTTTATTGGCAGAAAAATGTGTTTCCACTTGATATTGCTATCTACTGTGCAAAAGTTGTATGTGTGTGGGTGGAGTATGTTTTATTTCTGGACATTGTTTCTTGTTGGGTTTGGTTTAGTGGGAGTAATAATTTTGGCACAGTTTTCTAAGAGCTGGTGATATGTGCTTAATCTGCTTGCTTATATGAAAATGAAAGAATTTGATTTGAGCTCTGGGTTGCATTTTGTTGTGCATATCATGTATTGGATGATAAATTAATGTGGTTGTGTTTAATTTTTTCTTTCCTTGAGGAGACACAATGTTTTATGACTTATGGGAGTGAAAGCTAACAAGCTCCAAATGTTGCTTATTTCCGTTGATTCATGATCCTGTGTTTGCAAATATGGATTTTGACATAGTAGCCTGAATGGAATAATTGCTTCTTCGTATCCATTCAGAAACATGCTACTTGTAACTTATGTTTAGATCCTTACTTTATTATAGAAAGAATTCGGGCCATTTGGTTTTTTGGGATCCAGTCGTTTCGTCTAGAAGATAAAAAAGGAAATTCACTTCACTTAAGTTCCCCTTTGTGCTTGTCTACGTAAATGAGTTCTTCGAGGTGAGTGTTGCAGATTTAGAGGATTGACAGTGTTTCTGTTTAACCTTGTGTCTATGTAAATGAGTTCTTTGAGATGAGTTGTGTTTCTGTTTAACTTTAATCCTACTATGCCGGATTTTCTCCCTCGAAAACCTTGTGTTGGACTTGTGATTTTCTAGACATATCCTCTTCAATTTCTTTGAGTTAATGTTGTTTCATTGATACTTGATTCAATTATCAGAATTAGAGTTCTGCTCCTATTATTATTGATGCAAATTAGGTCTTGGCTAATTCTGTGAATTTGAGCGTACATGCAACGTTTAATCGTGGAAGACGAGGCAACGGCATGACCTATTGATAAGAATAAATGCAATGGATAAATTGACACGTCGACTTCTTAGTTCTTCTTGTTCTTGGGGAATGAGTTACCATGCAGCGGTCTGAACCTATAGGTGGATTCACTTCTCCACCTGACCTTATTTCAGTTTATGACGTAGATACTTTGCTTACTTACTATTTTATGAGGGAAAAACATTTTTATTGACTCAACCTTTGTAGTACACCCTTCAAATGCTTTTTTCCCCCTCACTGAAGTGTAACATTTTAGTTTTAATCTTTAAGTATGGAGCCATCCTCCTGTTTAAAAAAGTGTGGAGCCGTCTATCTAAAATGCTCCATATCAAGTATGTCATGGAAGGTGGCATTAACTTGCCTTCCAATTCCTGCTAGCATTTTACGTAAAATTGTCATTCTGTACATGTTCTAATGGCTCAGATTCCTTGACTTCCTGATAAATTGACAATTATTTCTACTTTTGCAGCTTACCTCTTTACAAGACCTGCTAAGAAGGAAAAAAAAGCTATCACTAGACAACCCATTACTCCAGCTGAGATTACTACTCCCACTCCACCCGCTCCTCAAAATTTTGAACCCATCTTTTCTCCTATTCCAGAACCTGTGAAGGTGCCAGAGCCCCTTTCTGTAAAGCAGCAACGCAGTGTTTTTGGATGGATGCTGAAAGAGAAAGAGGATGGTCAAACCTCAAAACCGAGAGGAGAAGAAGATTATCAATGAAGAAAATGCTCTACTGAAACAGTTCATACGAGCAGATTACACCCTGAAGATCTGATGTAACGTAAATGTTTCTTGATTCAAAATTTTCTTAGGCTGCTTACCATCATTTATGACGTGACATATTTTTTTTGTTACCTTCAATCTAATTGATACTGTTACTTTTTGAGTAGGCAATATAGATAATAGATGATTTGGTACAGTAGAATTTTTTATTGCTAGTGGAGGAAACTAATGGAGTTTCACGACTGTTTCGTTTATTCAAATGAACTTTTTCTCACTGCACTTCATAAGATGGTCATTTGTGTTGATTTCATGAGTTATCAAAATTCTTTAGTTGTTTATTCTTGTTAGTTGATAGGAGTATTTATAAAATGTGAACTTTTTTCTTGACCTATTTGGTTACCAAACAACAGATACACACCAAATATACACTTTCCATGTCAAATTTTGTCTTAAACCAGGAAAAAAGAAATTCACAAACCAACTTCCTTCAAACCCTACTGTCCAGAAAAAAATAGAAAAACAACTAGCCATAGCATAAAAAAGATAACATCGATGTGGACACTTAATGTTGGACCAAAAGCATATGTTCATTTATAATCTCTAGTTGCAACTGGCCAATCTAGTATTCCAAGCACATTCATATACTGTTCAGTATTTCTCAAGTTCTCATATTGCTTTATCACAACCCTGAGGCTAATCACTTAAAAGCTTTTTACACTCTCAGTGTATTGCAGTTTTGGCAGCTTGAATGCTAACCTTTTTCTTATTCTACTTTTGTTTAATGATTTGCCAACCTAAATCTTGCTTTTGTTGCATAATCCTCAAAACACACCCATGTGACATTCTTGCCTACCCGAAACCCCACTACCCGGATGAGAACAAAAAGTATTTGCATATGACAATATTGATTCATAAGTTTTTGCATGCTTGTGTGTATGTTAGAACTGGGTTTTGGATAGTGGTTTGTTTTGCCATTCTGTTGACAAAGGTGGATCCAAGATTTAAATATTAAAGGTTCCTACTGCAATCCATATGATTTACTGTATCCAAAGTCTACTATTTGTACTAGTGTAGTGAATTTTTGTTAACACATCTGAGCCAAAGTTACAGGGTTTGGATGAACCGATAACTATTGCACAACATCCCATTTGTTCTTGGATTTCTGTGCAGAATGTTTTGCCGCCGGACATTGTGCAAAAGCTGTATGTGGATGGATCGTTATGTTTACTGTCGGTACTTGGTCAGCCACCTTGTTATTTTTGGCCATTATTTCTTATCTGGTGTAGTAAGAATATGAAGTTTATTACAGTTATATAAGAGCTTAATGCTCTGTCCTTGGATAACTGCCCAAAATCTGTTCTTTCGGATGAGAATGAAAGAAATTCAATAGGACTTTGTGTATCATAGTCAAGGTGCATTTTATAGTTCATAGGTCATAGCATGTATCAGATGATGAATAAATATAGTAGTAGTTGATTTGAGTATATTCTTGACAAGGCGGACATGTTTTGGTGATTTCAGATTGATTCATGATCCCTTTTCTACAGATTTGGACAGTAGTTTTGACACAATGTAGTTGATTCTTGCTATCCATTCAGTATTCAGTATTAACATGCAACTCTAGTATAACTATGTTTAGTTTTTCTTTATTACAGAACTCAAAAGGAATTTGGGCCTTTAATTTATTGGATTTCAAGTTGAACTTTTCTGAGCAGTCATTCAGTCTATGAAAATATAAGCCTCCTTCATAACTGAAGCTCCTCTTTCTGCTTGACGTCATGGAATATGAATGAATTCTTCACAATGAATATTGCAAATTTAGAAAATTGGTGGTGTTTCTGCTGTGTTTTAATCTGGACTTGAATAATTAACGAGTGATTTAACAGACACATATTGGTAACAGTTCTCAGAAATGACTTCTTTGTGTGTTTCTTTCTTTGTTTCATGGGTATTTGATTCAATGATCAGAATTGGATAATTATATTGACAGACGCTGAGTTCGGCTACTATTTTATTCGGTAAAAAATTAGGTCCAAATCTAGTGCCGGCAAAATGAGCCCATATTTTGGTAACCCGCCCATATTTTAATGGGTTGATACCCATATAATCAACCCATAAAAATATAGGTAACATATGGGTACAATATGGATTTGCCAAATGAGTTAAGTTTCTAACTTTTATTCACTCAAAATTCATGATATCACTAAAAATATTGTAACTTCTCTTCCTTTTTATGTTCTTCTATAGATCTAATTATTTTTCTCTATAATTGAAAAGGTGAAGTCTTTGGCCCTCCAAAAGTATATATTTTAAATATACATTTCTTTTGTTAATAAAATTATATTTTTTTATTTGTTTAATTTTATATTGGATGATAAATAATAGTGTAAAATAAGCAAATCATGTATTAGTATTGACATTGCTTAAAATGCATTAAGCATGTTTTAGTCCTAAAATGCAAATATTCATTTATTTTGAAATTAATTTTTTTTTTCCCTTGTTATTGCATAAATTTATTTTATATTGAAAAGTTATAGGAATTTTTTTTTTACTTTTATGATTCAATAAAACTAAATGAAGCATTTTCAACATTTTTCATCCAAAAAAAAGACAAAAATATTTTCTCCTTGTTGAATTTTTAAGTAGAGTACTATTTACTCATGAAAATATGGGTAAACTAGTATTTTACCCAACCCATTTGTTATCCAATCTATTTTACTCATATCAAATATGGACGGGTTGAATTATTACCCATTTTATATTGACCCATTTTCAACCTTCCTAAGTGAAGTTTGGAGCGGGTAAGATGTATGCAAACTTTATATCTGTCTTTATAGGATAGAAAAGTTATTTATAACAAGTGTAACAACAAGTATTATTACACATGAAAGAGAACAAAAATAAAGAAAGATAAAGGAAGAGGAAAAAACTAGGGAATACATAAATCATACTACTAGAAGTACGATAACACTTGACTAATCTACTGCTACTCTTATATTCTAATCCTCAATTTATATACCTTCTTATCATGTCCTTAACCAATTAAAGTTGTGTGATATCCAATCACCTCTCAAATTCTTTTTAGCATATAATTTCTTCTTAAAATCAGTTTAATTTGGACCTAATTCATATCCTACTACATTAGGAGGCAGTATCCATGATATGATTTGATACATAATTATTTTTTGTGGTTAGTGGTCCGGATTAAAGGAATCGCCTTGCTGGTTTGTTAGACGACGAAATGATCTTTTTGTTACTACATTTCGTAAAATAATTATTTGTGTTTGATATTTCACAAGTTATCAATATTGAAGTCAATGGGCGGATTAGATTAAATTTAAGTATGGTAAAATCAGTTGAATATTTAGTAGGCGTTTGGCTATATTTTTGTGAAAATATAAAAAAATAGTTTTTATTTTTAAAGTGACAAATATATTCGGAAATTGGAGTTGTGCTTGCTATAAAATAGATTAAAGTTTTGTTTTAAATTTTTTATGAATAATGTGGAGTGAAAAAAGTGAAAAATGTTATATCATATTTGTATTATAGTGAATGTCTATTATGTGGAGTTTGTTAGAGAAAAGTTAGAAATCCTAGGGAGAAGAAATAAAACTTCTTATTCCTCTTGAATGATATTTAGGGATACACAGATCTGATTTACAATGAAGAAAACATATTTATTTATAGGAGAAAAGTTAGAAATCCTACGTGGAGATCAAGTCAACTTTCTCCTATAAATAAGTATGTTTTCTTCATTGTAAATCAGATCTGTGTATCCCTAAATATCATTCAAGAGGAATAAGAAGTTTTATTTCTTCTCCCTACTTTATTCTTCTTGTTGTTTTATATAATTTGATAACACATTATCAACACGAATTTCTAACCAATTGAGTTTGATTTAATATGTCCGATTCAGATTAGTAGAAAATTTATGAAGTTTGGTGCACAACTGGTAACTGATGTTGTTCGGTTTAATAAGTGGGTGAGTGTATGTCAATAGGTATGCTTGTAATTCTTAGTGAGTTTGTGTTTTATTAAGTTATATATTATAAAAGATTAGAATAGCCACCACAAATAAAGTAGTACGAATCTTTTGCCTTTTGTTCTTGATTTAATATTATTATTGTTACTTGTAAGTAATGTAACTGATTTTCCACTTGGCAAGTCTTCTGATTCGGATTGTCAGAAGACTTGTCAAGTGGAAATATTTTTAGATGCTCGAGGCTGAATCCTATTGCACTTTGACATATTACCTTATTGGTTGAGGGTGACATATTATGTCATTGGTTGAGGGTAAGACGATAGATTCAAGTCCTATCGCGTCAAAAGGATAAGACATGGGGTTAAAAGTTTTGATGCATCATAAGATTTTGAATTCATATCCCATCAATTTATGGCCTAAGACACATTTATATTGTAAAGACATTTGATTAAGTCTCAATGCGCTATATTGATGATATATTGACTATTAAAGCAAACAATGTGCTTCAGTCATGAAACCTATTCCATTGAAATCACTTCATTCCCTCAAGTGAATATGATAGCAGTGCATAATTATGTCTGAAAGAAGAAAAGTGATTGAATAATGCACATGAATGTGGAATGAGGTACTACGATATCATAAGATGATATGCTCAGGTGAATGTGTTCCGTTCATGAAGAATGAGAACTTTTAATAAATGCTAAAAATATAGATCCATTCTCTGAAGTGAATGAGGTGTAAGACCACCATGCTAAGCATGGAAAAAGGTCGTGACCTTGGTCGTGCAATTGAGGCACATTCCTAGTAAATAGGGCAGGGCATAAACACCGAAAAACTAAAATATCGAATCGAACCAAATTATTTCGGTATTTCGGTTTCGGTATTTCAGTTTTTGGTTCGGTATATGTTTTTATATTTTTCGGTATTTCAATTCGATTTTCGATATGTAATTTTTGTATTATTACCGAAATATATTATATTAATTATTAATATTAAATAATAAATATTATAATTTAAATTTAAAAGAAAAATTAGGTCAAAGAGTACACAAGACTGAAGACCTTTTGTCTTTTCAAACTTTTCTTCTTTACACTCTATAGTAGCCGCAACACTCAGCAGCACGAACAACAACAACACGCACGTCAGTTTCCTACTTTGGCACTTTCCACTTCCGGCGATCG